GACCATGAGCAGGGATCTCCACCATGTTGGAATATTGGAAATCGTCTCTAATGGCTATGTGATTGGTCATACAAGTTTCTAGAAGGGAAACTAGGGAAGGGTTGTGGGTATTCAGCAGGTCCCTAAAATGACGCTTAAATTCCTCATTGTTTCCACCCCTGATATTCCAAATTACAAAATTAGGAAGTCTACTCATTGAGGGATCGGGAGGGGGATGTTGTAGAGCACTACCCTTCACTAATGGGCTTAGTATTATTACGAAGTTGCCTACTGCCTCGTTTAGTGGAGATTTGATGTCGATGGAACATTTGTATAGTTCCTGTGGGTACTTTCAAACAAACTTCTTGTCTTCTAGTGCCTGAAATAGCATGATCTTGACTGCGTGTAGGTTTGAAATCTATGAACGATATTATGTTTAGTGGTGGGATGATCTGTTCTTGCTCCACTATTCCTTCCTCTTCTTGTACGTGTGCATTTTGATGGAGATGAGGTTGTGTTTGGTGAATATCCATCGGTGGTGGGAAGTGTTATGGCACAGGCTGCCACGCATGGATCAAGGGGGAGGGTGTTTTGATCCCGAGGAGCAAAGAATGGAAGCTGGTAAAATAGCTGCATGTTCTGCAAAGAATTGTAGTGGTGTAGAAGGTTCCAGTAGGCTTGCATGTTGTGGAGTAAAGCAGGTGCTAGTGCTGGAGCTATGGTATTACAGATATTTGTCACCCAAAGGTGGTTGATATAGTTTGACATTGCTATCCTCATGCCCTCTGAGATTAATTGGGCTAGAATCTGAGGGTTTTGGAGGACAGATAGAACCTCCTGGTTCTGAATGTTTGACGTGAAGCAGGCTGCCTGTCCCTGAAGCCCTTTATCCAACCATGTCATTGGTTGATGGTCCTGAGGGAGGGAATTTGTGAAATATATTGGAAGATTAGGGTTTGGTATTTTATTGTCCATTCTGGATAGTATGGATGAACGTTGATGAGGGGATATTTAGTTTAGTGGTATTCTCCTCCTTGTGAGAGATTGTGGTAGATTCATGTTGAGGAGTGGAAAATGTAAAGGCAGTAGGAACTTGGGGTTCGTGAGGCAATGATTGAGTAGCTAATATAGAGTTTTGGGTTTGCATGATTTATTTACTTGCTTACGACCATAGGTTATCCCTCATTGTGGAATTAGTTTTGGTTTCGTGTGGGCATTGCCTGTGGATTGGCTATGAAATATTTCATCCAAATCCATTATGGCAGATTCATCTTCCTTAGTTAAATCATTACTATTAGCAAGCAATGATGAAAATTTATTAGATGTTCGAACATAACTAGCAGGATTAGCACTAGGACTATGATGTTCAGTAGTAGATTGATTAATGATTTCGTGTATATTTTGTTGCTCAGTAGTAATAAGATTTTTAGGCTTAAAAGCTAGTTTTTGATTATTTAGAAATTTACCTGATGTCGCATCAAATATATTGACAGTGATACCTGGTTGGTTGCCCTGGTTTATGAACTTTGAAGGAGTGGCAGTGTTTCGCTTATGCTTATATCCTTTTGGGAATGACACTGTTTGCCACTGCTCCTCAGTAGAGTGCCCCTTACTGTTGAGTTGGTGGAGATGACCCAGGGTCCTGTTTGTGTCTGTTTCACTGTCTCTGTTTTATTGTAGATGCATGAAGGTGTTGTGTTACCTAAACGACAACAGGTTTTACATAAAAATATTTTTCCTTCATACAGTAATTGTTGTAGATGAGCACCAATTTGAACTGCAGTTTGGACAGCTGGTCTAATAGGAATTGCACACACAGTCTCCCATATCTCTCTCTGGTTGTTGAACTTGTACAAACATCTATACGCAGTAGCTTCCCAATTGAGTTACCAATTCTTCCAAGCACTGTCCCATCATAGAACTCTGTGGGTAACTGAGGAAGACGAACCTAGACAACTGAGTATAGTTCTTTGGTTTTGCTAGCCACAAAATTAGGCTCCCACCTTCTAACGGAGAGGTAGTGACCATTAATAAACCATGGTACTTGTTGTAGAGCTTTTGCCATGTTTTATTCTCTGGTAAATTTAACTACTTGAAAATCTGACCGTAGATCAATCAATGGGAATGATTCATTTGGTTTCCAAAGATCTTGGATCTTCCTTTTTAGGTATTGATGGACCACTATTTTACCTAGGAGTTTGATTATGAGAGAGAACTGTCATGGTGAGTACATTCATTGTCTGTCCTTGTCTGCTAGAGAGATATGTTTGAATTGTGGGGACAATAATTCAAGGGCGGAATCATCTCTCATTGGCTCAGCATAATCAATCATGGTGATATTGGAATTAATTTGAGTATCCGTTATAATTTCGTGGGAGATAATTTCTCCTTAAATAAGGGATTGTTTAAAATATTTGGGGCAGAATTGTTGGTGACATTGAATGATCAGTAGGTAAATCTGGTGGTTTTGGAGGAATGGATGCATGCTATGTAGTTGTTTCTGGGTTCATTCTTGGATAATGAAACTAGAGGTTGAGGTTGTAGGTGAGTAGAGAGAAGGTAGAGAATTTTCTCTCTCTAACATTTGAGTGGAGATACTGTTTGAGATGCCCTATTTACACGTAAAGGCTTGAATTAAAAAGCTAGACTAAGTCATTTTTTGGTCTCTTTACCAATCCGCCTTTGGCTTTAAAAGCCAAGAACGATTAAAAGCTGAAGCATTTTCATTTTCAAACAATTTGGCTTTAAAAGTCAAGAACGATTAAAAGCAGAAGCATTTTCATTTTCAAACAATTTGGCTTTAAAAGCCAAGAACGATTAAAAGCAGAAGCATTTTCAAACAAAAGCTTCAATTGAAGCAATTTGCATCTAAATTTTAACATTACAAAGCAAGATTTCGTTCCTCAATTTCAAAGCGCAGAAGCTTAATCCGATTTTTAGGTTCTAAAGGTTTCCAACATAATATTATACAGACTTTTTCCTACTCTAGGTATGTTAAGACCCTCCCTTCTTTCTTTTGGTATGGTCTAAATTATATAAAAAAAACTAGAAAATACACAGTGTCCATAAATTACTCTATTCATAGAATTATTAGGGGTGTCTGTATTCTTTATTCTCCATGAAAATTATTATTATTTTCTGTTCATGGGTCTCAAAATAATACGCAGTTGGAAAAGTTTATCTAGAAGGAATATTGGGATTATTATGTATTTCTCATGCATTTCACTTATGTGCATTGACCCATGACCAGATGGAGTTATATACGTGTATATATGTAAATATATGTATATGAGATATGGGAAAAGGTTACGGCGTTATATACGCACCACCACCTGATCAGCTGATATACATTGATAATTTTGCCCATAATGGCCAAGATGATATGATGGGATGCCCTCAGAGGCCGATGATGTTATGAAACATGCACCTATGCACGACATGACATTCATACGCATATGCATGATACAATAATTATTTCATGATTTAAAAAGTTATTCAGACTTACAGGTGGAGTCATTTTCTCTATATTTCCTCGATGTCTGTTATGTACTTATTTATATGCCTTACATACTCAGTACATTATTTGTACTAACGTCCTTTTTTGCTTGGGGATGCTTCATTACATGCCCGCAGGTCTCGATAGATAGGTCGAGAGCCATCCAAGTAGGCTATCAGCTCAACGAAAGATGTTGGTGCACTCCATTTGCTTCGGAGTTGCTTGTTTATTTAGTACAAGTTATATGCATATTGTTTGGTATGGAGGGACTCTATCCTGACCTTTATGACATTTATGTACTCTTAGAGGCTTTTAGACAGATGTCGTGTACGTGAAACAATGTATGGCCTTGTCGGCCAATATTTTGAGTTTATAAATAATCATGATGGCCTATTAGGCCCGTATGTCACTTGTATATAATGATGTAATAAGAAAGATATGTGATGTTGGTACTCGGTTGAGTAAGGTACCGGGTGCCTGTTGTGGCCCATCAATTTGGGTCGTGACACTATCAAAGAACCAGATAAGGATCCTGATACACTTGGTACACAACTCAATCATCGGACTCAAGCTAATGTGAGTTGCTATGACTTTAGAAGATAAAGAGTCAACACGGGACCTGATCCTATTGGGTTCCCCTGATAGCAGTACGAAGTCAACTCTTTACAATTGGAAAGTGACTGCCTGCACTGTAAACGCAAATAGTGCAACACAGTGCAACAGTCACTTCTCACTGACCTTGTAAAAAACCAAGTGACTACATCATTCAAGTGATGTCATCCAATTTGTATTAACAAAACATTACAAAAAAACATCACTTGAACACTTGAGAATTTATTCAAGCACTCCAAGCATCTGACAATCAAGCATTCAATTCTCAAGTGCATCAAGGACAAAGTACAACACTACTACGGACCAGTTCCCACAACAAGTCTATTGTATGTCCTTAGTTAAGTTGTAACTTTGTATTTGTTCTTCATTATAATTCGTACTTTGCTTATCTTGAAGCTTTAATTAGGAACACCTTATAATCTATAAACCTTTAGTATTTGTGTCGTGACTAGAGTTAGTCATGAGTTGAAGTCTTTGTAATAGGTGTATTGCAAAGTGGCTTGTAATAAGTGAATTACAAGTTAATAAGGGATTAAGAGTTTAATTCTTTGATTGCATAGGTTGTAATCTAAAGATTGCTCATAGTGAAGTTGAAATCCTACTAGTGTAGGTCGTGGTTTTTTATCCCCTTGAGTAGGGCTTTTTCCACAGAAAAGTTCCCTGTTCCATTTACTTACTATTGCATTAGTCTTATCTGTGGAAACCTATATAGGAACCGATCTCAATATAGTTTGATGGACTCATATATTCTATCAATTGGTATCAGAGCGGGTTCTTTCTATTAGGTTAACACCTAGAAAGGATCCTCATACATGCTCCACCAAATTTCGAAGAGGGTCAGTCTACCTACAGACCACCCAGGTTCAATGGCCAATATTATGGGTGGTGGAAGACAATGATGCATGACTTTATCATGGTTGAAGATTCCGAGCTGTGGGATGTTATATGTGATGGTCCTTATGTCCCTACAAAAAAGGTCAGAGATCCTACTGTGACATTGCCTAAGACGAGGAAAGAATACAATGATGTTGACATGAAGGATGTGGAGAAAAAATTTTTGTGGCAAGAAAATTTTGGTGTGTGGTATTGGTCCTGATGAATACAACAGGATTTTAGCTTGCCAATCTACCAAAGAGAATGGGAAGCTTTACAAACAGCACACAAAGGAACTACTCAAGTAAAGCAATCTAAGATTGACATGCTCACCATTAAGTATGAGCTCTTCAGAATGAAAGACGATGAATCCATTCAAGACATGCACACTCAATCCAATTCCATTATAAATGAGCTACACTCGCTTGGTGAAATCTTTCTCAGGAACAAGCTCATAAGGAAAATTCTCAGTGTTTTGCCTAGTTCCTGGGAGAGTAAAGTGAATGCCATTACTGAAGCAAAGGATTTATAGGAGCTGACTATAGATGAGCTGGTTGGGAATCTGAAAACCTATGAAATGAAGAAGAAGAAGGACAGTGAAAGAAGAGAACCAAAGAAGGAAAAGAACCTGGTACTTAAGGCAGAAGGCAATGAATCAAGTGGCGAGGATAGTGCCATAGCTTATTTAACCAGAAGATTTCAAAAAATGGTTAGAATGAATGGAGATGTACCAAAAAGGGGCAGTTCTAGCAAGCCAAAGAACTATGACCTCTATCATAAGTGTGGAAAGCCAGGGCATTTCATCAAAGATTGCCCTCTCCTGAAGCAAGAACACTTCAAACACAACTCTGACGAAGCAGCCAAAAGGAGCCTGGTTCCAGATAAAAGTTTCAAAAGAAAGAACATTGCTGATAATGTTGTGAAGCAAGCTCTTGTAACATGGGGAGATTCTTCTAGCGAGTCTGAAGAAGAAGATGATGCAGGTGATAACTCAATGATGGCCATTGGAAGTGAAGAAAATGAGTATGAATCAATATTTGCTTTGATGGCTCAATTATATGACTATGAAGACGATGGCAATGATGAGGTAAAATTTTGGGATGTTCAGAGAAATCTGAAGTCTTACTCTCCTAGAAAACTCATGTCATTAGCTAATGTGTTGATTGATGCTTACCATAGTCTCGTAAATGATAAGGATGCCTTAACCTTGGAGTTAGGGGACACTGAACAAACTAGATATGACTTGGTAGTTTATGTGGTTGATTTGAAGGAAACCATAGGTAATCTAGAAAAAGAAAAGGAGGTTCTAACTGAGAGAATCACTAGTGTATAACACGAAAGAGATGATCTGATGGTAGTAGTAGTTGACCTAAAAGAAACCATTGAGAATTCCAGTAAAAAAAAAGATGCCTTAGTGGAGAAAGTGGCTATTATTAAGCAGAAAAGAGATTACCTCTTAGTGGTGATTGTAGACTTAAAGGAAACAATAGAGGAACTCAAAACTGAATGTAGGCCTGGGAATTCTGAAAAAGGAAAGGAAGTGGCTAGTGAGGCATATATTAAACTTGAAAACGAGTTATATGTTGTAAAAACTAGTCTGTGTGCTGAACTTGAGAAAAAATGGACAACGTCAAGCAGAATTGGAAAAAGTAAAAAGTGATCTTGAGAAGTCTCTTAAGTGTACTTGGTCCTTGGATGCTATTACTGCCATGTACGTTAATAATGGTAGAAACAGGAAGGGAATAGGTTTCAAAGGGAGAGAACTCCTTATAACCCTCATAGCAACTACGTTATTGTGCCCGATAATTGGTTGTGTACCTAGTGTGGGAACAATGTGCATTTCAAAGAAAATTGCCAAGCCAGGGTTCAGTATCTTCAAACAAACAAAGTTTTTGCTGAAAGAGTAGTTGCTGAAAGAGGAACAAGTGCCACCCATAAAAAGCGAATGTTACCTGCATGGACAAGAAGAGCACTTATTCATCCGCTTGTTTCTTACAAGGGATCCAAACTTGCTTGGGTTCCTTAATCTAACCCTTGATTTCCTTGTGCAGGGAACAATGAAAGGAAGCAGTCAACAATGGTTCATGGACAGTGGATGCTCAAAGCACATGACTGGGAATACCATGGACTTTCTATCAATAAAAGCCCTGCAAGGAGGGAGTGTATCATTTGGAAATGGAAAAAAAAGGTACATTATTGGTGTTGGAAAAAATGAAAAATCACTCACTTACTCAATTGAGAATGTGTACTATGTCAATAGTCTTAAGTACAGTCTCTTAAGTGTTTATCAGATATGTGATAAAGGAAACAAGGTGGAGTTCTTTTCCAAAATATGCACAAGTGAAGTGGTATTTGTGGCCAAAAGATACAAGAATATTTACGTTGCTGATTTTGGGTCCTTACAAAGTGGTGATCTGAGATACTTGAAAGCAGTTGATGATGATGTTGAACTGTTGCATAGAAGGTTGGGGCATGTAAGCTTCTCTCTACTGAATAAGTTGGTTTAGAAGGGCCTGGTTCGTGGTCTGCCCAAGTCAAAGTTTAAAGAGCATAAGGTTTGTGATGCCTGCACTAGATGAAAGCATGTGAAATCCTCATTCAAGCCAAAGAAAGATGCCAGTACCTCAAAACCACTTGATCTCCTTCATATGGATCTATGCGGTCCTATGAGAGTGCAAAGTAGGGGAGGAAAGAGATATATCTTTGTGATGATGGATGACTATTCCAAATTCACTTGGACTCTGTTCCTTAGAATAAAAGATGAAACCTTTGAAGTTTTTTTAGCCTTTGTGAAGAAAATTTAAGTGAAGATGGAATCAAAAGTAGCATGCATTAGATCAGATCATGGAACAGAATTTTACAATGTTAATTTTGATGAATTCCGCAATGAGAATGGCATTACCCACAACTTCTCAGCCCCAAGAACTCCACAATAAAATGGAGTTTTGGGAAGGAAGAACAGAACCCTTGAAGAAATGGCAAGAACAATATTGATCGATAGTGGGATTGCTAAGAACTTCTGGGCTGAAGCTATCAACATTGCCTGCTACTTGGTGAATAGGTGCATGATCAGGTCTCTCTTGAACAAAACTCCCTATGAGTTGCTGAATAGAAGGAAGCCCAAGGTGACTCACTTAAGAGCATTTGGGTGCAAATGTTATGTTCTCAATAATGAAAAAGATCAGCTTGGAAAGTTTGATGCCAAAAGTGATGAAGGAATCTTTCTGGGATATTCTTCTCAAAGTAAAGCCTAAAAGGTATACAACAAGTAGACTCACTGTGTTGAGGAGAGTGTACACGTAATCTTTGACGAGTCCTACCTCTCATATGAGAGAAACAACAAGGATGATCAAGATGGAGAGCCTCTTCTAGTTCTAGGTGAGGTCATTGATATGGCAAATGGAAAGGCAGATATGACGAGTCAAGTGAAGGAGACAAGTGAACATAATACAGTCTCTTCCTCATCAGTCGGAGAAGGACCAAGTACTACAATTACAACCACTAAATTGAAGAAAGTGTAGTTGATGCAGTTCAAAGTACTCCAGAGGTAGCTAAAAGAAGGATACAAGGGAACCAGTCAGGATTACCCAACTCCTCTACAAAAGCTCAAGTGCCCAACTGGAAACACAAAACTCCCATTCTCTTGACAACATAATTACTCCTCTGGTTCAAGAGTCCAAACCAGATCAAAATCCATAAATTTACTTGCTTTCTCGGCATTCCTCTCCCAAATAGAACCCAAAAATATTAAAGAAGCCTTAAAATATGCAGACTGAATCACAACTATGCAATATGAGCTGCATCAGTTCGAAAGGAACAACGTATGGCACCTGGTACCTAGACCCTCAAATCGAACCATCATAGGAACCAAGTAGGTATTCAGGAATAAGCTTGATGAACATGGAAACACTACAAGGAAAAAGGCAAGGCTAATGGTACAAGGCTACAATCAGGAGGAAGGAATTGATTATGATGAGACATTTGCTCCGGTTACTCGCAAGGAAGCTATAAGAATCCTCATTGCCTTTACATCATGTATGTAAATCACTTTGTTCCAAATGGATGTCAAAAGTGCATTTCTTAATGGCTTCCTCAAGAAAGAAGCGTATGTAAAGAAATCTCTAGGTTTTGAATGTCATGAACACCCTGAATATGTGTTCAAATTGGACAAGGCATTGTATGGATTGAAGCAGGATCCTCGAGCTTGGTATGAGAGGTTGTCAAAATTTCTCTTAGAAAATGGTTTTGCAAGAGGAAAAATTGACAACACTTTGTTTTTGATGAAAAGAGGGAGGAACCTGCTCATTGTTCAGGTATATGTTGATGATATCATTTGTGGGGCAACAACGGATTCACTATGTGAGGAATTTGCAAAACTCATGGGAAGTGAGTTTGAGATGAGCATGATGGGTGAGTTGAATTTCTTCTTGGGTCTTAAAGTGAAGTAGTCCACAAAGGGAACATTCATTAGTTAGCATAAGTATATAAAAGAGCTTTTGAAGAGTTTTGATATGGAAGCTTCAAAAGTGATTGACACTCCTATTTCCACTGCCACTTGACTAGACATGGACGAATCTGGCTCTTCTGTAAATCAAACAATGTATAGAGGCATTATTGGATCTCTCCTCTATCTTAATGCAAGCAGGCCATATGTTGTTTTTAGTGTGGGACTATGTGCAAGGTTTCAGTCAAATCCTAAGGAATCTCACTTGAAGGCTGCCAAAAAAATCCTAAGATATCTTAAGGCAACACAAGTCCTGGTTCTATACTACACTTCAGGTGATAATTTTAATCTTATTGGGTATGTTGATGATGATTATGCAGGTTATCGTGTGGATAGGAAAAGCACATCCGGAATGGCTCACTTCTTGGGATCATGTCTTATCTTATGGGGCACAAGAAAGCAAAAATCAGTATCTCTTTCAATAGCTGAAGCAAAATATGCCGCTACATCCTCCTGATGTGCTTGGATTCTATGGGTCAAACAATAGTTGGAAGACTTTGGAGTGTACACTGATTGTGTACCTCTTCTGTGTGATAACACAAGTGCATTCAACATGGCCAAAAATCCAGTGCAGCATAAAAGAACCAAACACATTGATGTGAGACATCATTTTCTCAGAGACAATATGGAAAAGGGGCTCATCTGTATGAAGTTTTATAGTAAAGAGGACCAAATTGTAGATATCTTCACCAAAGCCCTAAGTAGAGAACACTTTGACAGAAACAGGCTGGAACTAGGGTTAATAAAGCCTAATTGAGAACCTGATTCCTACCATATGGCTATGAAAATCACACATAGGTAAAATTAGCTAAAGTATTTTTCGGCCAAGTCTAACTCACTTCTATACCATTACAGGTAGACACGCATGATGATTATAGAAGCTACTAAGGCAATGCATGAGCGGTAAAAGAAGGTTGAGCATTTTGTAAAGACTAGTCAGGAACCTGGTTCTTCTGCCACATGTTAGTTGTCTTTTGCTTTATCATACATATCTCAAAATAAAAACAAAAAATAATGCCACATCATCAACCTTTTCAGACTTTGTATGTCACATCTTTTCATTTAAATCCTTTCACTTCCTCTGAAATGTTGCATCTTCCCATGCATCTACTGCCGTTTCAGAACCCGTTTCTCTTTCCTTCATAATTTCCATTCACCTCATTATAACCCTCTCATTCACAAAAATTGATCGACCATCTCTATTCTTCTCAATCTCTCTAGAACCTTCAAGCAAAATTTTCTACCACGGCTGAGGATCAACCAATCCCTCCTACCATTGAAGAGAAAAACCTAGAGTCTTCTCCTGAGGAAACAATACCAGTCATCTCTTCTTACACCACTGAAAACCCTAAACCAGTTTCTCCTTCACCCCTTATCCCTCTCTCCACTCCCTCTGATTCTACTCCTCGTCTAAGTGTTGAGAACTTATACAACCCTCAGAATGAAAGCTTCTCTCCATTGTTTCCTATGACATTCAACGAATAGAGTGAAGATGACATTGCAGTTCTAGAGGAAAAGAGTAAGTCTCCATCGACAGAAAAATCTTCATCGATCAGTCTTGAAAGTGCCAAGGGTTCTTAAGAAAACTCTGATCAGTCTACAGGTACTCCTGTATCTCCTGTTGTTGCTTCTATGGAACCTCAAAAGAGGGATGCCATAGAAAACATGTTGGCTATTGCTGCTAAGGGAATTATTAGGAAGGAAAACTCTACTGTGTCTGAGTTTTAAGGGGAAGAGACTCAGTACTTGGTGAGAGAAGGAGCAATGGTGCTTTTTGAAAAACCTGCACTAGAAGAGACTACTAGGACCCCTCTTGATGGACCTAACCCCTCTCCTGATGAAACATGTCAGGAATCATCTTCCGAGGTTAGTCTCAACCCTGCTCCTTCTCCTCACTTTGTTGCTGAGCCTTTGTAAGTAGGTTCTCCTATTATGAGGTCCAGTGATGAAGAAGATCAGGATGATGTTTCTCTGAGTGCATTCATTGTCATAAAGAGGCCAGTGGCAACTCCTGAGCCCCCTCCTAAGCAACCTACCACAAGGTTGCAGAAGAAGGAGGATTTTGAGTGTGCTTTAAAGTAGAGTAAGAGAAGTAACAAGAAGAAGAAGAAGAATAAGAAAAGGCTGGAGAAGAATGGTGAAGTTGTTTGTGACAAGAATATCCCAATTGTTGAAGTTGATGAGTAAGTCACAGATGAACCATGTTCCTTGATCAGGAAGTCAAAAAAAGAAGCACTCTACTAAGAGTACTTCAAAAGAGGCTATTGAAACACCCAGTGACAAGTCAGTAAAAGGATAATGGCAAGTTGGAGGAAGCTGTGGTAGAAGAGTCTGTGTCAGATGAGGATGTGCAAATGAAGTCTAGTGGGAAAGTTAAGTCCAATAGAAAGTCTGTGAAAAGGAAGTTGGGGTATGTGAAGGAACCCGGTTCTGTGGAGAAGGCAAGAAAGGGAAGTATATCTGGTAAAGAAAGGTTGAGATATCAGAAAGTGTTGTGGGGTCGTACTTTTGACCCTGTGATTTCTGAGATGGCTGGAATGCGTCAAGTGCTTGAGATGGTTGAGTTTCAACAGTGAGGACACCTATTCAAGGTGGATGCACCCAAGGTATATGAGGAAGAGGTTCAAAGTTTCTATGTAGACCACTTTACTGTTGAATCTGATCAAATTTGTGCACTAGTAAATGGCGTAGACATTGTTATGGACTCTGATTTGTTAGGAGACATACTTATGGTTCCTACTGAAGGTCTGTGTTCTATTAGAGATGCCTATTACTCAAAATTTAAGCATGCTATAGTTAAGGAGGGAGTAGTGCAGGGGGAGGGGGGGAACAGGTGCATAAGAATGCTTTGCTTCCTATTTATCAGCTCCTGTTTGAGTTGGTGAACAAGGTCCTGCTTCCTCGCGCTGAGAGGAGGTCTATCATATACAAGTCTGGATGGTTTCAAACTATTAATCTGCCAGCTATAATGATTCAGCGTATGCAAAAGGTAGCAGCATTCAAAGATGGAAATCATGGCCTCCCCTATGGGGTTCTCCTCACGCGTGTCTTTAAATTCTTTAAAGTGCCTTTAGGACAACCTAAGATACTGACCAAGAACAAGACTATCTATAAAACTACTCTAGAGGAATGTGAGTGTATCGACAGAATGGGAGGGGTAGGAAGCACATCAATGATTTCCTAGCTTATAAATGCTCAAAACAGTGCTACTGAAGAGATCAAAAAGTTGAAAGCAAGGAATGTCATATTAGAGACAAATCTCAGTCAGGCTCTAGAGGCATTAGGGTCCTCCAATTCTTCAAATGCAGAGTTTGCTCATCTGACTAAAGAGAATGCTTATCTTAGGCAACATGTTGTGAACCTGAGTGAGAAACTGCTCACTGAGCAAATGTCTGCCAATGCTCAGATAGATCTTGTTCTCAACACACTTGCTGCCTCTTCCAAGCCCTCTTTATCTAGTGTCCCCTAGGCATATCTATTAGTGACCAGTGTCTAGTTTATATCTCTTTTGATGATGTTATGGTAGTTGTGTTTATATTTTTTTGGTTTGTAGATGGAAATCACTAGTACTGATCCTGTGTAAACAATCTGAAACTGCCTTTGCTGTAACAGCAAATGCTTATATTTTTGTTGTTTAATGAAGACTCTTTTTTTGTTGTAAATGCTTATGTGTTTCTGCTTCTCTTTTCTATCATGTTGTGTGCACACAAGTAGCATGTGTTAACTAGGCTAGACGTCTTTATGCTATTTGCTTGTTTATGTGTTTTTAATGATGTCAAAAGGGGGAAAAGTAAATAAAATTGAAGGAGTTAAGAAGAAGCAGGGAACTGATTAAGGGGGAAGCACAAAGTTAGGGGGAACTTGTGAAGTTCCTATTACTTTATCTGGTTTTTTGTTGCTCTAACTATGATTGTCAATCTCTAAGTTTGTCATCATCAAAAAGGGGGAAATTGATGGGTTTATAGTACCTTAGCTTCATGTTTTGATTATCTAACAAACTTACTGTCAAAGAACCAGATAAGTAACCTGATACACTTGGTACACAACTCAATCAACGGACTCCAGCTAATGTGAGTTACTATGACTTCAGAAGATAAATAATCAACATAGGGACCTGATCCTCTTGGGTTCTCCTGTCAGCAGTTTGAAGTCAACTCTCTATAGCTGGAAAGTGATTGCCTGCACTGTACATACAAATAGTATAGCACAGTGCATCAGTCACTTCTCATTGACCTTGTACCAACCAAGTGACTACATCATTCAAGTGATGTCATCCAAGTTGTATTAACAAAACATTACAACAAAACATCACTTGAACACTTGAGCATTCATTCAAGAAATCCAAGCATCTAACAATCAAGCATTCAATTCTCAAGTGCATCAAGAACAAAGTACAACACTACTACGGACCAATTCCTATAATAAGTCTCTTGTATGTCCTTAGTTGAGTTGTAACTTTATAATTGTTCTTTATTGTAATTCCTACTTTGCTTATCTAGAAGCTTTAATTAGGAACACCTTGTAAACCATAAACCTTTAGTGTTTGTGTCTTGACTAGAGTTAGTCATGAGTTGAAGTCTTTGTAATAGGTGTATTGCAAATTGGCTTGTAATAGGTGTATTACAACTTAGTGAGGGATTAAGAGTTTAATTCCTAGATTGCATAGGTTGTAATCTAAATATTGCTCATAGTGAATTTTTAAATCATATCAGTGTAGGTTTTGATATTTATCCCCTTGAGCAGGGATTTTCCCACGTAAAAGTTCCTATTCCATTTACTTACTTTTGCATTAATCTTATCTGTGTAAACCTATATAGGACATGGTCTCTATATAGTTTGGTGGACTCATATATTCTATCAAATAAGTAAAAAGAAAATAAATGGGGTCGTACCTTAGCAGTAGTATCTCTTCAAATGGGTTATGTTCCAGGTATTCAGTAGTTGCTCGCCCTTCATTGTTCCATGTTTATAGGACCCCTTTCCGATGATCACAATAATCTGGTATGGTCCTTCCCAGTTCGGTCCCAAAGTCCCTTCATTCAGGTATCAGGTGCTTAGTGTGACCTTCCTTAGAACTAAGTCCCCGATATTGAAGTGCCGGATGTTGGCCCTTCGATTGTAGTATCTCTCGATCCGTTGCTTTTGGGCAGCCAACTGGACAAGGGAGGCTTTGCGCCTTTCATCTAATAGTTCTAGGCTCGTACTCAAGGCTTCACCATTCGATTCCTTGGTAGCATATCAGAATTTGATACTTGGTTCACCGCCTTTGACCGGTATTAGAGCTTCAGCGCCGTAAACCAACGAGAATGGGGTGGCCCTGGTATTGGACTTCGAGGTCGTATAGTATGCCTATATGAAATCAGGTATAATTTCTTTCTATTTTCCTTTGGCATCAGTTTACCTCTTTTTGATGTTTTGGAGAATGACTTTGTTGGTTGATTCTGCTTGTCCGTTCCC